TTGATTTGGTCCCCATATTACCAGCCGTTTAGCCACAGAGTTTGCCTTCTTGACAAAGCGACTTGAGTCTCGTATTTAGTGTTGAAGGTTATAGTGCACTGGATAAACCCACACTCATACACCCATGGAAAAATAAATCCATATATATCAACAGTCAGGCCCACTGATGGCAATGCCGACTCGACGCACGGGAATATAAACGCCTTTGTGTTTAAGATTTTCGACGGATAGTTGCGTGGATAATCTTCCCGACATATTGCGCTAAAGCCAAAATGACGTATGGTTCACCGAGCATACGCCAAACCCGGTGAACCTTTGCAAGGCATCCTTACCCACTTTTTCAGTACAGAATAAAAAATATCTGTATTATATATCCAGAAGTTTTTTTGGCTTTCTTCGTCTTGTTTTTTGCCTAGAGGTTTATCCTCACTCTCTCATTCTCTTCTCTCGATCTCAATCACGATGAAAGTTGCCTTGAATACACATGCTGCCTCCTAAAATGTGAAGTGCCACATCGCCGGGAATACATGTCTATTATATTGAGACGCGGACATACATTTCTATTATTCTCTCTGTATATACAGGAACATTCAGTCCTGGAATTTTTTGTAATTCAAGTTCTAATTCACAAGTCTTGTCTTGTTTTTTTAAGTGATTTTTACGATTGATATGTCGAGTTTTTTTTTTACTAAATATTTTTATTTTAAAATTTATGTTTGAATTTTTTAAAAATATACAAACATTTTCAGTCAAGTTATTTTCAACTGAATTTTGTTTTATTCTCAAGCTAAAGAAATTTTTTCAATAAAAATGAATGAATAAATTTTTTGGTGCATAACTTATTGGACAGATGAATTATTTAAATAAAAATCTCTTGAAGCGTTAATATTTTCTATGATATCATTTACTCGTTGACTATGCGATTATATTCACCCCCTTGGGTACTTGTAAACGATGATAAAAGGGGATCGTCTTGCGCATCGCCAGGGGATCAACCATCAGATATAATTCAAGATGGAGTCATAGAGTCATATCGCACAAAATAAAAAGTTAACAAAAAAAAAAAATTAAATCAACTCACTCTCAAAACACACATCTATTTATTGAACATATATGATACACATGTAGGTATAAATATATATTTAGGGCACATCTGCAGGAAAATATTCCCTTACGCGTTCTCCTATTCCCGTCTTTTTGTGTTTTGCTCTCGACGCATACACCGCTTTTGTGTTCTCAATGCAGATACCGAACATCAGTTAGCCCTCGGGGTAAACGATTGCGTGGACTCTGATCTCATCGTATCCCAGGATGAGATACTTACCTTACCTGTGTTATACTGACACTGACGTCAACGGTAAATTAGTGGATCCCATACTGTACCTTTATTATAACAATACCAAGCACAATAAGAAGTACATGTTGCCCAAGTTTTCGCCTTTGACTTGCCGTGGAAAATTTGACCGTTTTTGTATTTAGTTTCTTCGGGATTTTTACCAGAGAAAAGAATCAGCCAAGTGGCGCTAATTTGTGGTTTCAAATTTTCTTTTTTTAAAAATTTTTATGTAATTTCTACTATTATTTTTGTTTCACTTGATTTAGTTTTGTGAATTCACATTGTAGAAAATAATTAATATCAGTTTTTGACCTTATATTTAAAACTAGCTGGGCGCTTTATAGAATTGCATTTTTAGATCTAGACTTGAAATTTAATCAGAGTATTATTTTGACTTGCACAGATTCCCAATTCTATCGAATTGGCATGCACCTTTTATCCATGTAATTATTCTAGCTAATATTCATTGTAACTTTCAATGTGCAATAATTATAACATTCCGGTATATAGTGTCTTTCTTACAAAAATGAATAATAATTGATATTATAAAAAAAATTTTGAATAAGCATTGAAAGTTTCAGTTAAAGAAATCGCCGGTCTCATAAGTGAAGAAATCTACTTAGTATATAAACATAACCAATAGAATTAAAAAATTTATTTTAAACAAATGACAATCGAATAGAATAAATTTAGTTACAATAAAAATTCATTATTTTTAAATAAAAAAAATATAGGTTCCGGATAAGTAATCACCACCATATTATATACTAAAATCTTTTCCGAAACACGCTGCATCTTATGGTATAAGTATTATTACAATCGGTTCAGTAGTTTTCGCAGTATAACCGGACAAAAAAACCGGCTTTCCATTTATTAGTATAGATACAATTATAAAATTTTATTCATAACAATCATAATTTCAAGCACTTAATTATTAATAAATTTCAATTCATTTTTTTAAGTGGATTTACATCTACAATAACTCTTGTACCAAACATATTTTAAGTAAAAAATGTACCCATAAGATTGTTATCTACTTGTTGTAAGGGCAATTCATTAGGCAAATCTGCATCATAAAATAAGGATGATAGTTTTGTTGACGATGGCTTTTATTTCGTACTACATTCATGCCTTATATATGTGTATGTAGTTTGTAATATATGGAAAGTATAGAGTGTGTAATAGAAGGGCGCGTGACAGTGACTTCTTCTTTGTCAGTCTATATCGCCGCAATGAATAGGGTGACGAGTTGGGTGATCTGCGCACACGGTTTAACCCCTCGTGTGTTACGTACTTGAGGGGCGGCAACGCACGTTCTCCTGGGGTGGCCAACGTGACGGTCAATCAGTAGCAGAAGCAATGCTTGTGTTACCTCTAACTAATTTATTAACTATCTTCCAGGCATCTTTTAACTGTAAACGCATCAAAAAATATTCCTGCATAGAAAAAAAATAATTTAAATATTTTTCTTTAAATTTTTTTTTGTATTAATTTTCTCCAATGGTTTTTTTACTAGCACTTTTTTATAATTAAGATGTAATTTATCTGACTTCGGAAGGCAGAGTAATAAAAAAAAAGTAAAAATTGTATGTCTAGACTTGAGACGAGATTTTTTCATGGTAATTATGTCTTAAGTTTTATCTTAAATTTTAATACTTTAAAATCTTAATACCTATTATTTTTGTAAAGGTTGACTGTAAATTTTAACTTACAATACAACATTAGTAGCATTTGTGAAAGATCATTAAGGCGACAAAAATGGGATGGAAAAGTTTGGTCTCATCAAAAATCAGTCAACAAGCCGCCTACTTATTAAATCCCATTGTCTCGAGATTTGTTGATAGATTTATTTTATGTGTAATGTATAAGCTTCTCTTTATTTATTTAACGTGTATTTTTTTATTTAAAGTGCTTCAAAATTTTTTTTATTTAATTAATTATAGTATTCTATAATTCTTGGTCCCAAAAATGAAAAAAAATTACAATTTCATAGGAGAATATTTCCAAGTTCTGTAAGAGGTACATTTTTAAACTGAAAGTAAATATTTAGAGTTTTATTTTGTAAAAATATTATTTGAAACTAATTTTTATGATTTTGAAAGTATTTTTTATAGAGTTTGTGAAAATTTTAGTTTGAAACTGAAATTTTTCCATATTTTTTTCTTTGCTTGGAGCATTTAACTATTCAAATTTACTCTATAAAATATAAAAATTAAACCGGTTAAAAAAATAACTAAAATATATTTTACTTAATATTTTTACTATATGCGTACTCTTTTGGTTTAAGATTTTTTTTTCTTAAATTAACTTTTTTATCAGTGCACAGAAAAAAAAATTTACTTAAATCAAGTAATTAATTTTGAAGAATTTTATATTCTTGATTTGAGTAGAAAAATTCTTAAACCAAGAAATTTTTTTTGTTTTAAGTAAATTCTTCTTAATTTAAGATTTTTTCGTCTTGATTCAAGACAATGAAACTCTTCAACATTATTTTCTTGGTTCAAAAATTCTTTTCTTGATTCAAGATAACTTTTTTTTTCGGTGTGTAGGTCATGAGCGACTACGGTAGGGGGTAAACTTTTGAGATTGGAACTCGTTTGTATTTTTTGGGCTGAGCAGAATAATACACTTAAATATTGAAAATATTCATTGGTGTACGCCGGACTCGAACCCGGTCCAATGCTTTGGTAGCAAGGGCCGGATCCGATAGGCTACTGCGCGCCTTAATTTTTGAATTATAAATTTTGAGATAGTTGATTTTTTAAGAAATTTTACTTTTTTAATTAGAATAAAATTGCAAGTGTCAATAAACTAGACCAGTGTCAATAACTGGCTCTTTTACCTTACAAACTGCATAAACTTTTATACAAAAATCTTGAAAAATAAATCACCGTTTATTAAAACAATCAACCAATTTAAAACTTCCCTAAAAAATTTTTTGTAAGAATTTAAAAAGTAATAATTTGTAAACACCAAAAATGGGTTAAATTTGATGACATTGTTAGACTTTAAATGAATTGTCAGACGACAAAAGGGTCATAGTCATCAGTATAGTTAGCATGGTACATTTTTACCCATACGTGTATGCATAAACACATGTATGTGGTAGCACAGGGTGTATGGAATGGAGCGAGATGCCAACTGATGTTCGTTGCCGCGCGTAAAGCTCACCGTTCAATCTTCAACCCTCGAGCAGTGGTCGTGGGCTCAAGGAGAGGGAAATTTTATTCTATATACATGTACAATCAGCTCTATATACTACAAGTTGTACATAAGTCCTCGGTTCCGCCCTTTTTTAGGGAGTAGGGTGAACTTTAGCCAATAGGATCGAAAGCTTTTCTCAAATCCTTACCCGACTTACCATCAAAAAGCCTCGACTCCGATCATTGTCAGTCACTATTCATTCAAGAGTCTGCGACGGAACTGTCTCAGGTATTCAGAGCTCATCCATCGTTTGAATACACGCGACTTAAATTTTTTTAACTTTTTCTAATCAATCTGTATGTCTGCGCTACTCATTACAATTTTTATAGCTCAGAATTATCAATTATTGTTGTCCTAAGTGCTAAAAGTGGTGAAAATTAGAACAGAACTTTGTTCTTTTTTTATTTGTGCATTTGATTATTTAAACGTTTCAAAGTTGGCCAAAGAACGGAAGTCATTCATGAGTTCGGTTCATGATCGAAGAACACAAATTCCCGATAGAAAAATGCAACCACAATCAAGTAAGTGGATTTTTTATTTTTTTTTTTTTAAATAAATATAAGTTATATTTTATTTGGAATTTTTTAAAGAGAAATTTTATTTTAATCGGCTGGATTTGAGAAAATATTTTTCTTGTTAATTTTTAAATAAAATGTTTACTTTTATTGTAAATGTAATTTTTTTTTCGTAAATTAAACTTTTGAACTTTTATATTTACTATATTTATTTGCGACTCAAATTTACATTACACATAAATAGAATGAACAGAAAAACAAACAAGTAATTATTTTCTCAAAACCATTGATAAGCCCAGTATTAGTAAAGTATAAAATAATAATCCCCTGAAAAGTTTTAAGCTCCATATTTATAAAGTTCAAACTTTTTATATTTTGTCACTTTGGAACAAAATAATTTATTCAATATCATCCAAAATTAAACGAAATTGCTTAAAAAAAATATATATCAATTAAAATAATTAAACATATTTTTCTATTGTATCTTGACCATAATTATATTTACTCAACTTTTTTTCCTCGTAAATTAAAAAAAAAATTAGTTTATTGCCTTAATAAAATTTAACCAAATCCACAAAAAAAATTCTTTAAAAGTAGACAATTTAAGTCAAAGTAAATTAAATTTAATTTTTGGTTGCAAACATTTTTTTTTCTTAAATAATCAACTTTTAATTCTAAATCCCGATTAAGGCTTATTGTACTGTATTTATATTTTATTTTATATGTCTAATCTCGTGTGAAACAAATAGCATGTGTATTGCTGATGAACCAAGTGACGATAAATATTATTACAATTTAAAGTCCATGAGAAAATAACGGCAGATGTTTCGGGGGCGATAGACAGTGGGATGCGTGCGTTAAATAAACCTACGAATCACATCACATATGAATTAACAGGTTGCTGAGCGTCATTTGGTGGGCAATCAGTGCAAGCTTAGCAATTGCAATAATATATAATGTATAAAAATAAAAATACTATTAACAAAGCATGTGTACGGTAGTCAGTAGTCAGTAAGCGTGTATCAGGGGTTCGTCGATGATGAGGCGGAATTCTGGCGTAGGTAATCGACCCGCGACCCCCAGCAAACTTTCAAGCGGGGTAACAGATGACGGTGTCGTGTGTAAAGTATCCCCTTTAAATATTTATCGAAATAAATTTACCTTGTTAGATGTACACATCTTGTTTTTTTAAAATAACACATGACGGTGAATTCCCATGCTTCAATGACTAATCACACCTGATATATTCTTGACAATTAATTATTAATGACTGTAAATTATCAGAGGGGCAAAATAAAAAAAAAAAAAAACAAGACAGTTAAAAAATACAAAATTGCACGCCTCATAAGCGAAGCGTTGAGGTTGTGCTCTACTCTCGACATTTCGAAAAAAGCTGTTTTCTCGAAACTGAAATTGACTTTTTGTTATTTATATCGCACTTACAGGTTAAAATGAGTACTCTTATGTCAAGTCAAATAATTTTCAGTACATAAATATATTATCAATAACAATTTTTTTGTTAACATAATAAATAATACATTTAACATAATCTTTTTTGGACGTCCGTGGATGAATGGGTGGTGTATGTGGCAGAGAAATTGGTCGAAAAAATGATCGTACCGGAACAATTTTTTTTCTTAAATACAAAGAAATATATATATTTCTTAAATACTAAAAAATATTTCTTAAATACAAAGAAATATTTTTTAAATGCTAAGAAATGATGTTTAAGAAATGATTTCTTAAATACAAAGAAATCTTCTTAAATGTTAAGAAATCCTTCTATCAGTGCATTAAGTTATTATTTATAAAAAACCAATATATGACTGTGGATATTTTTGTATTTCTATCTAGACATTTTATTTTAGTATTTTTTTTCCTCACCTTGCAGTTATGGCGCCATTAAACCATAGCAGTGTTTTTTGTTTTTTATTATTTTGCTTTTTATATTTTATTTTAATCAATTTTATTTTAAAAAATGAGATTATGAGGCGTGCACTTTTGGATTTTCCAAACTTTTTTTACATTTAGTTATATTTAACTTTTACAACTAAAATCATTGTTCTTTAATATTGATTATTGTTATATTTACTTAACAATTGCTGGTCATACATTGTCCATCTCTATTAAAACAATTGTCGCGGGCAATTTGCCACCAATTTGCTATATCAGGTATAGTCCTCCTCCAGCAGGCAATTGACTATAATTTTCTATAGTTTTAAATACAGTTACAAAACTTCGCAGCTGCCTGTGACAATAAAAAGCCAAGAAACTTTCAAGTTTAAGCAAAAAAAAAAAAAAAAAAAAAACTAATGAACCCAAAGCGTACTCCAGTAGATGACACGCAACTACAAGATACTTTTTTATTTCTATTAAATTCAGCTTAAGGCTTCGCCCTTCACAAAAATATTAATTTTAAGAGTGAATCACATATTCGTACAGTAATTATTAACAACTTGCAATCACTCGATTTAAAAGCATCCATTAAAGTTCGTCTTTCGGATATTTCCTGGTACAACTTTTGAGGTTGTTGTCCTTTTAGGTTACTGGCCTTTTAAGGTTAAAATTTTGTAAATTAATAATAGCTACGAAACTGGACACTTTACTTTTATGTTGAAACAAACGAAAACTAAAAATATGAGGGAGAAATAACGCACTCGGGGTGCAGGTTACAAACGACCTGTGGAAGAAAGACTTGCGGGGTATAAAAAATTCACGCGGTGTACAAGTTGTTGAGAACGCCCACAAACTGTCCTTCAACTCGTATTAGCATCTTCTTTTTCTTATTTTTTATTTTTATAATAATTACAATATTATTCTTAAACTTCTTTACTAACTTTATAGTTATTATTCTTTTTAAATTACCGGTTCGGTTGCTGTGTGCGTGCGTGTTTTGCTTCTCAAGCTCAACTTCAGTTTCCTTTCTCTCTATTTTTTCTACATGTGCAAATATATACATGCGTTAATACTTTCCCCAGTGAGGAAATACTTACCCTGTTATTGCGGTGCTTTGAATAAGCATTAATATGAATATATACATATGTGTGCATGTACATCGTGAGCTTCGATGCAATGTTCACTTCCCTTCGATGCACTTGATATTTACTACCTTACTATTAGATTGATTGATTATTCATAGAAAATTCAGTATATACTTATGCGTATAATCCAAGAAAAACTTTTCTTCCAAGTTTTCGGAAGGATAAAAATAGATATACATTTTTCCATCGAAGGGTAAATTTTTTAGACGACTCGATGTCTGGCAATAGTTTTACGAGTATAAATATTTTTATTCAATTTTTTTAAATTCTCCTCAAACTTGAACAAAAGTTTTTAAATTAAAAAGTCAGTAAAAATTTTTAGATAAATATTTTTATAATTTTTATCATTAGATCAAAATATTTTTTCATAAAACTTAATAAATTTTTAGTTTAATTAATTATAAAAATTTTTTTTAATTTTAAACTATTTTATAAAATCGAATAAAAATAATTATTAGTAAAAATTATAAAATTATTATAAAGCAACAATAGAGTATTTTATTGACATTAATTTTCACAGTAGTAGAAAAAGAAAATAAAAATATTTTCACTCTTATTGATCAACCATATATTGTCACAAAAATCAACTTATGGTCACGGTGCGTCGTGTATTATTGATGTATAACAACAACGTCAGGTCGTGACAAAACGGAATATTTAAAAGGGCTTTTACGATTTAAAGTTCGGCAGGACAGCGTATACTTAGCGTTAAAACCCGTTTACGCGAAAAAAGAAAACATATACTTTCATACACATGAATGACACATTGAAAGTATATTATTGAATGGATCGATTTGCCGTTGAGTTAACTGGAGAGTTATCCATGTATATACCTGTCCAAGTAATATAAATACAATAATAATAAAAAAAAATAAAGATGATTCTACAATGACATAGAAAAGGCGCGTACGTTTCTCACTGGTTCAAGAGTTTATAATAGACTCTCGATCGTACTCATGCTCGGTGCTTCTGTCATTTTCGCGATCCGCCCTCACACCATTCAAGCCTCCTTTAATACTACCCCTACCTCGGGCTGTAAGTATTATGTGTGCCAGATAGTAAAGCGTAAATCAAACTAGAGAGACAGAGAAAAAGCTAGAAAAGAGCTTATGAATAGCGCTGTTTGAATAATGGACCGGATGTGGCTGCTGGCATATTCAATAGCCAAGTGAGCAACCAGAAACACGACACTCCATCGTATCACGATCTCCCAATCAATCCTCAGGTTCTTTATTCCTATTTAAACGCCCATTTAACTATATAACGCTAGTACATACTTTTCTTCAATGCTTTATTTCAACACACACTCTACTATTTTCTTTTATCCTCCTTGCTTCTTATTTCTTCATTTAATGTCTAGTTCCTTTGATTTTTTATTCTCGACTCCCTTGTAAGGTGGGCAAGGTGTATGAAGTTCCAGATTAAAAACAAATATACTTCCAAGTTGTAAATAAAATTTTTATGGTCTAAAAAAATTCGAGCTTTATGTTTTAATTTTACGAATTATTTATTTTTAGATTAACAATTGAAATTACTTACAAAAAAAATTTTTTTTAGGCCGCATTTTGTACGATATACCTTGCAAAGTCTGTCGCGATCACTCATCAGGTAAACACTACGGAATATTTGCCTGTGATGGCTGCGCTGGCTTCTTCAAACGATCTATTCGACGCAATCGTCAGTACGTTTGCAAAGCTAAGTCTGAGGGTGGATGTATGGTTGATAAAACTCACCGCAATCAATGCAGAGCTTGTCGGCTCAAAAAGTGCATCCAAGTTGGCATGAACAAAGAAGGTACTAATCTTTTTTTTTGTCAATTTATTGAATGTAAATATTAAAATGGTATGTTAATAAGTTGTTTTTGTTTTCATTTAAATAGCTGTTCAGCATGAACGGGGACCCAGAAATGCTACACTCCGTAGACAAATGGCTTTGTACTTCAAAGAACCCGAAGCAATTAACAACATGACGGCTAACATGATAACACCACCACCACCACCACCACCACCACCACCGGCTACCGTGTTGAATCTGGCATTACCGAAAAATCCGAATGATGAGATACGAGCATCTGTTCTGGGGAATGCTGGTCCTCCCGCTCATATTAATCTTTACTCTGGAAGTATTCCGCTACCTAAAATCGGCTCTTATCGATCATATGTAAGTATTTTTATAATTTATATTCTAGAATTTTTTCAAAATTATTAAAATATTTTTACAATGAGCGAAAAGAAAATCACTTGCATTTTTTTACAATAATGTGAATTTTTTTACACGGAAAAAAATAAACTATTATAAACAATAGTTGATTTATAATAAGTAATGAATGATCAACTGGTAAAAATTACCATTTCAAACAGTATAATCGTGATTTTAATAATCACTTTATAATATTTATCATTTAAATGATATAATTTATTATTTAGATGAAAGAAAATACTATTTTAAACAGTAATATAATATATTTTAAGAGTAGAATGTTTACTATTTCAAATGTTAAATTTTCCGAGTGTGAAACCTTCCCCTTCTCCTCATAGTATAGACTACCCCCATGAAAAAAAAATATAAAAAATATATAAATATATAAAAAATATGTATAGTAAATATATTTTTAATAACTAATTTATGGCCGATTTTTATATATATTTTATATATTTCAAATATATTTTATATATATTCAAAATATATATGAAAATCGGCCAAAAGTTAGTTATTAAAAATATATTTATTATATATTTATATATTTTTTATAGATTTTTAATATATTTAAAATATATTTCGAAATATATGATTTATTGTATTTTTTTTTCAAGGGGGTATGTATTTCTTATTGTAACGGCAATTTTTACTGTTTGAAACTGTAATTTTTTTTAATAAGAGAGTGGTTATTTACTATAGTGACAGCTATACTAATCACATTTTTGATATTAAATTATAAATTATGGCTTTTACACTTTTACATTAAGTTTTGTAATATTTACATTCGCTGCCACCCTGATGTCCGCTGTACTGTTTGAAACTATAAAAATTAACTGGAATTTTACAGTTTACTTTTTTCCGTGTATGCTTTAAATGCAAATTTCAAATTATATGAAAGTTTTATATAGTTTTAATTTTTTTCAATTTTTCAATAGTCAAATTAGATTTAGCAATAATTTTTTTTTTGTATTCATTAAAAATCTTACTGACATATTAATGCCTCAATAAAATAGTAATATAAAATACTTCTACTAAAAATTTTTATTTGATATTGATAATTCACCTTATTATTTTTGTACGCAAAAAAATTTTCATAATATCTGAAAAGATAAAAAAAAAAGTTTGGCTCACTTTCGATCCAATTTTTAACATTTTGAACTTTATTTAGATTCCCGTCAGTATGCCAGCGATTCCACCGATTCCATTGGGGAACTTCTTCAACCCAGACGCAGTCTGTGAGCAAGCGGCACGCATATTGTTCCTAAACGTCCGTTGGGCAAAAGACTTGACCATGGGCACGGGTCTCTGCTTGGAGGACCAACTGACGCTCCTCGAGGCATCTTGGCGCGATAAATTTCTGATATCGACGGCCCAAATGTCACCAGGACTGGATCCAGGTGTTCTGCTGAACCCCGAGCAGCAAAACAACCCTCTGGTGTTAGAAGTTCACCGTTTCCGCGAAGTAATGGCAGCAATAACCGCCGCAGCCATGGACCCCCATGAGTTCGCTTGTTTGCGAGCCATCGTATTCTTCACCTCCATTCTCGAGGAGTCCAAGAGACAAATGACTAGCCAGAACAGTGACGGGTCAGTGTCACCCCCTTCACCAGCCCTAGCATCGAGGTACCGAGTAAAGGACCTCGCTACCATCATGCGGCTGCGCGACGGAGTTTACTTGGCACTAGGACAAATGCTCAGCCACTCATCCTACGGGGCTTTGAGATTCGGCAGAATATTACTGTTGCTCCCCTTTTTGAGGTCTGTTTCGAGTAGTGCTATTGAAGCCTTATTTTTCCGTCGGACTATTGGTGCTATTCCTATTGAACGGATCATATGTGACGTTTATAAGACGCAATGATTTTCTTTCAAGGTTACAACTTTATTTATTACTAAATTTCTTAATAAATATAGTTGGAACTCTTGAAAAAAAACTCTCTAAATTTTAAGAACAATTTTTTTTGAAATTTAGAGCCTTTTTTTCAAGAAGATCTGTAAATATTATTGTAAGTAAAACAATAGCTGATGTTCAGCAACCGTGTATAGATTACATGCTGTAAATAATACCTGTAAATAATTGTTAAAGATTATTCATTATTCATTGTAGAGTTTAAATAACTGTGATGTTGACATATCACTAATTTTATTACATACTTACTTTTGATTAAACATATTATACAGAGTTATTAATATTTTTAAGCATAGAATATATAAAATTATTTATATTAGTTCGTAGACTTCAGCAATAAACTTACTTTTAAGTTTAATCGATAGGCTTACTAATAAATCGTAGTTTAACTACTTGTAAATATTTGCAAGATTCGAAATAGAGTTATGGAGTAGTTTAAGAAGCTTAAAAATTTTATTTTTGAGCAAGCTTTTAAAATTGAAAGATCGGTATTGGAAGGGCGCTCAGAGTTAGAGACTAAATTTTTTCCGGTAAAATTTTGTCATCTATTTTTTTAAAATTAGCGTTCAAATTTTTTAAAAATATTTATTATGAATCGGTTAGAAGCTTATGTTGTCAAAATTGCAACTTTGAGTTTTTTCTGACTATTTTCAAGTTCTTGATTCATTTTTACAACCTTTTTTTATAACTTACAGCTTGAAGCATTACTAATAAGCTTAATGGGATTCATATTTTTGATTATTTTCACCTTAGCTTGTTGGTAATGTTCGACCTTTGTAAAAGAAGGTTGTATTAAAAATCAAAAGCTTGAAAAAGCTTAGAACTGCAATTTTGACATTATAACTCTTCTACTTCTTTTAAAACATCCAAAAAATTAAGTCAAACTTTTAAAAATTTATTTTTAATTCCGAGCGCCATCGCTCTTTATGATTCTTTTAATACCGTATTTTTCAAATAATTAATTTTATTTATTTATTCAATTAACTTAAGTTTCCAAAACGCCTAGCAGAACCCTAGTTAAATAATGTGTAAATAAAAAATAAAATGCATGCGCTACGATATTAATTGTAATCCTAAGATTAATAGTAATAATATATTGTACAGAAATCGCTTAAGCGATTATTAATAAAAAACTAAAACTAAAAAATTTTGACTTATTTTTTATTGAAATTTTTCGTTACAAATTTGGTTTAAATAATTTGGGAAAAAGTTAGGGTGTAGTTTGAAAAAAACCGGCCTGAAGATTGTTAAATCTTACCTGCGTCACAATGACCATGATTTTCACGAGCATTTCACGGTGATTTGACTGGTAATCTTGGTACAAAGGCCCGCAACTCACAACTCTGTTAGCAGTGGCTTAATTCAGTAACATTGTCCAGAGCCCGAACATAAGTTTCACTTGCTCGGGGCTATATAACCCGCGGTACTGTAATCACTAAGCGAGCAGGTAAATAATCGCCTCTAAACTTTTCCGACTTAAAAAGACTTTAGACTCCGGAGCTACTTTTTATTATGGACTTGAGAGTCCACACAAGGTCTGAACTTTTATTTAAATGTAAAAAAAAAAAAATTTACAATAAAAAACGGGTTAGTTTTTAAAGACGATCATCCTTGGAGACATATTTTGTCACGCGTTTTAAAGAATCAACTACGTATTTATTTAGTTTTTTAACAAATTATTTTTTTTTTATTAATTTTAACTAGAAAAATCTGCAGTCACTATGTGACTGCCGAGAATTGTGAACTATAAATAAATAAAATTTTGCTTAATTAAATAATGACTTTTGTTAAATTGCACTGTACTTCCTTAACTATTGACATTTTTAAAGATATAAGCTCATCCCGATGTTACACTCATCAAGAGCTTTCATTTGCTTACCTACATGCATTTTGATATATTTTTCATATATTCATATATATATAAATATATAAATATATGAAAAATTGATGTGGGTACTCAAATGAAAGGTCTTGATGAGTGTGATGTCAGGATGAGCTTGTATCCTTAAAAATGTCATTAGTTGACAAGATACGAGGTCATTTCTTAATTATTGACATTTTTAAAGATATAAGCTCATCCCGATGTTACACTCATCAAGACCTTTCATTTGAGTACCCACATGCACTTTTGGCATATTTCTTATATATTCATATATATGATATGTATATATATATATATATAAATATGTGGGGATCATATCTTCCACCCACTCCCTGGTAATTTAATTATTATTATTTTTAATTTTTTATTATTATTTATGATTATTTATAATTATTAATATTATTTAATTATTATTATTAATATTATTTAATTATTGTTATTATATTATTTAATTATAACTCTCATATTATTTAATTATTATTATTATTATTCTTTAGTAATAGTTAATTAATATAGTCATTATTTCAGTTGAAGTTTTTCTACAACGATATTAAGTATTGTGTTAAAAAAGTCTTAGTTGTGTCGTATCACCATAAATTATACGAGATTATAATTTACTTGGTGATACCAAACAACTGATGAAGCCTCGTCTCTGCAAGAGCATTTTGGGAATTTTAGTTTATTGTAATTTCGGTGCAATATAATAAAATTTACATTTGCAGCCGGCGAGACCCTAATAAAATTATTGTTATAGGATTAAAAATATGTAAAATTAGTCGGTAAGAAGCTTAAGGGTTTTTCCCAAATATTTCTACAAATATTCTCAATAACATACATTTTTCTAAAGAGCAATTAAGGGATTAAAAAACTCTTGTCGCCTGGCCAGCGACCGGACCCATGAACTCAGTAATTGCTTTATACCTGTACCTCTGTACCTATACTTCTATACTTCTACATCTCTATACTTCTACTTCTATATTTTTTACATACTTTTCTATAATTTGAGAATCTATCCTGTACATGTACTTACGTATATCAATTCTATAATTTGTATATATACCTAGAAAGTCTTTCCTGTACATGTACATACGTATATCAATTTTCCATACTTACGTACAACTAAGTACTCTTACCCTTAATATATTTTCTCTATACTTCCATCGAGTACCCCCTACCCCTTGAGAGGTCGGGGGCCGAAATGGACACTTTAAAATTATCAGTTCGACCGAGTGACCCCTAAGCTTCGCATCGCATAATTATAACTTCACTTCGTTTTAAGTACACGCGTGTATTAGTAATTAAACCTATTTAAATAAAAATTATAATTGTATATCTACGTTTACTTCGCTTAATAACTCGACGCCCTTACTTCCTAAAAATAAATGAAAAATTGATGTGGGTACTCAAATGAAAGGTGTCGATGAGTGTAATATCAGGATGAGCTTGTATCTTTAAAAATGTCAGTAGTTGACAAGATACTAGGTCATTTCTTAATTATTGACATTTTTAAAGATATAAGCTCATCCTAATGTTACACTCATCAAGAGCTTTCATTTGAGTACCCACATGCATTTTTGACATATTCCTTATATATTCATATATATAATATTTATAAATATATGAAAAATTGATGTGGGTACTCAAATGAAAGGTCTTGATGAGTCTAGCATCAGGATGAGCTTGTTTCCTTAAAAATGTCAATAGTTCACGAGATACAAGGTCATTTCTTAGTTACATAGCTAGATATGGAGCATTTTTGAATGCAGCTTCAATATTTATCATAATAAATTGACTATTGGTGAGAATGAAATGAAACTTTGTAAAGGTATAAATTCAAGTCAAGATCTTTGCAATGATACTAAATTTCACTAAAAAAATCGATTTTATCATATAATTATCCAGGACAAAATATTTTTCTTATTCTCTTAATAATATAGATATATTTACTTATTAAAAAACAGTTTTTTATAACGTTTAATCGTCAATAGTATTGGATAAAAATTTTTTTTTCTCAAATGTAAGTGGATAGCGCATAATAGAAACTTGAGAAAATATATTCTCACGAATTTCTTAACGGAGCGTATGTTAACAAGGATCTTTATATAAAGTTTACTTGTTGCGAAAGTGATGCGGGATAGAGAAAAGCACCGGCGCTCGTTCTAATGGTTTAAGTGACTCTTGTTCTTCGCATGACTGGCTTTTCAAATGTTGTGCCACTTATCGTGTATACGTATACGCGGCACCCTGTGGCATCCCCTCAATTCATCGTTCAACGTGTTTACGACAAATACTCGTTATCGCAAATTGCCAATGAATAAAATAAATAAATTCCTGCAGTATAAAAATATAAATAAAAATAACACTTAGAAATTATTAACGGCTAAAATAAATAATATAAAATTGAAAAGTCAACCGTGAAATTTGTTGAAGCAGAATCTAATTCACCAAGAGATCAATGCGGTGTCTGGTATTTATTTTTTAACATCCAACATCTGTATCGTTCTTCAGCGGCAACATCAATATAATATATATATGACCGTACTGCACATTATATTATATTATATTTAACATAAGTTTTTTCGGCAACATTTTGAGTGAAAACCTCCAGAGACCGCCCGTCGATTCGTTTCGGCCACTGTAGCCATCATCTAACGTCACTATTTCCCCACCAGCATTTCACTTTGCCAGGATTTACCCTCGCTATTGAGTCCATTATACTCCCTGACAAATTACTCAGGTAAACAGCCCGCCCAAAGATATCTATGAATGAAAAACACATCCTGTGAATTTACCGCTCTAAGCGCCTAGTGTGACAAATAATTCGTTTCACTTTCTATACTACCTTCTGACCATTCATTATACTATAATGTCCATTTCAACAAGTTGTTTAAATATTTACACCTATTTACCGCAATTATTGTCCATTCATTCATTTTATTTCTTTATTTTCAAAAAAATCACTTATTATTTCTTTAATAAATTTTCAATTCCAGTTTTAAGTTTACCTCTATTCAATTTAATAAGTAATTTAATTTAGTCTTAAAAAATAAACAATAATACAAAAAAATCG